GTATAGCACATACGGTACAACATTAATACAATGTCAAACTTAAAATGTCAGCAGCGTCAATGAACAGCTATAATAGGAATGAGAAAAAGAAAAAGACATAAAACCCTGAACCTCAGTCAAGTGTTGATTCATTATGTAGTATACAACAGTATTCGCATATATCTGTATACGTGTACAGTAATAGTGTGCATGTAAATGCACGGGGAACTAAAAAAAGGAAAAATCGGGATTTTGATTTTCTATGAACATCTATGTTTTCTTCTCATAGTTTTGTATGTGTGCATGTGATAACACTTCAATCTCTAACAAACTGGAGAACATTGGAATCTCATTATTCGCAAGTCTAGTTGCATATGACACATGTGGTTATACATTTACGATGGTTTAACATCATGCTCAACCCTTTTGCCGAGACTTACTTGTAAGCAAGCATACATATCAGTATGTGGCGCATGTATATGTATATATATATTGCTGTTTCCGCTTTCCGTAGATAGCGAAATTTGAGCTTGATTATTGAAATGAAAAGCATTAAAATAAATTTACATTTCGTATTAAACGAATTATAATGTAATAGCGATGTTCCTAAGATGCTTAATTAACATAACAGAAATTTTTATATTTTTTATAAATTTTTAATGTTAAAGATCTGTACAAGAATGTAAAGGAATAAAGAAGCTTTGCAATATGTAAAAGTACATATCGTTTTTATATATATGTACATATAAATTAATTCCTTTAATTTTAGTTTAGTGGAATTAACCAATCAATTATTATTATTACCATTATTGAGATGAGTATGTTTTAGACTATCTTCCACTTTCATATCCATATAGATTTTGTTTTCTGTATTAACTTTGAACTTTTTAAAAATATCCGTACTAAAAAAGATTCTCACCTAAGATTTATTATTCATTTGTTTAATATGAGAAAAGGACTAAGAATGAGCCAAAGTCTTCGTTAGGGTTTATATACATAGCGAAAGTTGGAATTCGACTTCGAATTCTGAATAAAACGGCAAAAATTCTTACACGAGTGTTTGTGGCAATGTGGCTCGTTGCTACTGTTGTACATAGTTGTCCAGCAGTAATCATTAACAAATAATTGGCAAAAGTTAATTTAAACCTGTTAAATGAAGGCATTTTTTACACTTTACATGGTTCAACGTATAACTTACCGCCGGTTATTGTTAATGCAAAATAACGCTGAAATATGACTTGAAGATTGATTGGTACTTAGCTTGTGAGTCAATGAATTTAATAGTGTTCTGGCATTGGGCAGCTCTTGTGGTCGTAGAAACTGAGCCCGAAAGATGTAACTTACAATCTACAAGGGATATCTAGGTTCAAATAAACACAAACATTTATGAGGCGCATCTTAAAGTTTGATCAACAAAGCAAGCGCAATCTCTCACTAAACGCGCTCACGATAATCGAACGAGTATACCATACAGTATATAGAATATATTGACGTACGATCTGCCATAAATATTTTCCCTTGTCGAATGAAAACTTTGTATACACTGGTGAATATTTTGTATTTATATGGCAACGAAACTCTCAAAGATTTGTTTACGGAATTAAACTGCACTTTTTAAATTGGCTTTCGCATTGGCTCCACTTGAATAGGATTAAAAATCAGTTAAATCGATTCGCCTGCAACTTGCAAACTATTCCAATCTTCAATACCTACTCCTTAATTAACGCTTTGCTTTCTATTGTAACGCTTCTCTGGACATTTTAATATTTGATCTTTGAACCAAAAACGTTATTCCGTGTTGCCAAAATAACAGTAACCTGTTGTAGCACAATAAAGTATGCTTCGAAATATAATGAAAACAAAACATAACAAACGAATACATAAGCAAAAGCATTATCATGGGTTATGAGGCATCATGAATTGCCCTACATTAGTTCGCTTAATACAATTTATTCATATAACGACTTTTCAAAATGAGACCTCATATGGAAACTGGTTCTTCTGCCAAAAAACTTGAAGAAAGCAAATAAATTTTATCAAAATATCTCTCTCAACAATTCTAGTTTATAGCTTGAATATAAGTTTGAAAACAAGACGGACGGACGGACGGACGGACGGACGGGCAGACAGAAAGTTAAAAGAAAAAGATGGATCTATCTCAAGTCGATCTGCGCGTTGTGTACATCCATAAGAGGTGTAGCGTTCACGAATACTAAGCGACTTCAAAATGTTAATTTCATTCATTCAGTTAGCTAAAGCCATGTTCTACATATTCCTCGCATAAAAAATGCAGATAGAAATTATGTTGTGTGCTGGCAAACCTTAGTCATTATGCGAGCAAACAAGAAATCAAAAACTCAATTCTTCAATTGTTTGTGAGAGAAAAGCCAACCAACTAGGCAGCGAACCAATTAATTGTAAAATATGTAATTAAAAGCAATTACTAATATAATTACTGAAAAATTGTAAAAGGAAATAATAATAATAATCATCAAAACCGATAATTTAATGTTTAATGAAAGAAATTGAATGAAAATGTTCTAAAGCAGATAAGTTCGATCCTATTTTTCAGGTACGAGGAGACTAATTGAGTACAGTATTGATCTACTTTTTTTTTTTTTTTTCAATATGACTAATCGCTCAAGAGATCTTGCCCGGGCAGTGATAACTAAACAGAACAGAGGAAAGAGAGAAATAGGGAATGGCTGCAAACTTGAACGTGTGTGTCCTGCCTTGGTAAGCTTTACAGCTTTACCAACAGCCCCCCACCACCAAATTGTGAAATAAATTGTGATGAACAGCTCAAGAAGCTCATGGCCTATTCACTTCGCTAGGCCGTCGTATACGATCTTCTAATTCTTAAGTAATAGAATATAAAGTGGTTGGAACATTTGTGCGCCTTTGTGTCTCTTGTTAGGGAACAACATTGAAATATTTGCTAGCTCTCTACCTTTTTTTTTGTTTTGGGCAACTTCTTCCATTCGTTTGAAAAGATTAAGCAATAGTGTAATCAAGGTTACTGTACGGTTGCTTATGCTTGTCGTATTTGGAAAAATTGATTCGACATTGTTCGAGTTGTATTTAAAATTATTATGGCTTATCGGGATTTATTTCATGGACTTATGGGGAGTTGTGATTACTATCTCATAGCTCGTAAGTATTAGAGGTTCTGCTTGTATCAAATATGATTTTCAGTAAATTTTAAATTCAATTTTTTTAGAAAATTTTTCGCGAAACACTTATCTTAAGAATTTAATTGTTATGGTTAGCAAAAACAAAAAAAAAAACAAAGAAAAAAAAAAAAAAAGGGCAACGAAATATGAAAACTTGCACTAACAATTTTTCGTACTTGTACATAAACGGTTCCATCGTAAGTAAGTTGAGGTTAACGAGTCAGACAGTCTGCTCTCTAAACGAAAACATTATATTATATAATGTATGTATAATTCCTCATATTTTAGAAATATTATGCATTTTAAAAGCATTTTAAAGTCAAGTGAATTACATATGTTGGTGAGTGACTTGTGTGCACACTCAATGAGCATTGTACCCGGAATTTCTGGTTTCAAAGAAGCATGTAAACCAAACTGAAAATGTCTGGAAGACAGACTCCAAGTAGTGGCTGTGGAAGGGAGTCTAATTTTGATAGACATAAAATAAATTTTAAATAAAAAAAAAATAAGTATTCCGCATATTTTTTACACAGAATGTATATATAGATGTATATATATATATATCTATAAATTTATATGCAGATGTAATGTAGACGCAGATAAACACATACAAATTTTAATATATACGTATATCCGCATAAATATGTGTCTAAATTTTACGTTCAATGTACGTACAACGATTGTTACACATTTACGCTTCATTTATATGTGTGTGCAAAGCTGTATATATATGTTAATGTAAATGTATTGTATATTACAATTTATATGTCTGTATACGTTATTAAGGTGCGACAAAAAGCAGTATAACAACAACAACAAATAAGTTTACCATGACTCTGTATTATAGTACTCGCCAGTGACAATCGTACAAAAGAGATGCAACGAAATTTTTGTTTCCATTTAGTTTCAATTTTTTTTTTTTTTTTTTTGGGGATAAATTGTTGCATGTGTAAAATTTTTATTCACACTCAAAACTTGTATGATCACAAGCAGTACATAACACGGTTTGTACCATATGAGCATAGCCGTGCACGGTAGAAGATGGAAAGGAGTGAAAGTGTGTGCGAGCACGAGTATAAAGCACATGTGCACCGTACGCATAGATGAATTTTATTGTCTTTTGTTACTATAAACTGTTCCTGGTAGCAAAACACAGATATGCGCGCACAATCAAACGAATGCACACGTTTACAAGCATATATGAATATAATGTACAAACCAACTTTTATTATTACATATTGATACAATTCGTTTTTCTACAAATGCATGCATGCGATATGTTTTCAAAAAATATCAACAAAATCAAAGTTGCACACACACACACACGCACGCGAATATATATATATATATATATATATATATATGAATATATGCACACATGCTTATAAACACAGAGGCAGACAGACATTTAAAAATGTATAGCAATGGATTTGGTTCTATATGCATTTATATAGAAACTGCCGCGTATAGATTAGGTTAGATAAAAAAAAATATTAAGCTTACATATATATAGTATTGAGAAAGACAGACAGAGAGAGAGAGAGAGAGAGAGAGAGAGAGAGAGAGAGAGAGACGATTCGTTAGCTTTAGTGCAACGCACGGAAGGATTGATTAAATTTTGTCTACCGTCTAAAGGCTAAATATTTTTTCGTCCACTCACTGTATAAACGTAGTCAAGTATGCAGCATGTATGTGAAAACACAAACAATATACATAAAATAAAAAAATAGAAATAAACTAGAACATTGAAATTCTGACAGGATTTTCCAGTGTCAATAGGATTATTTGTTGTAGGTGTGTTATAGTTTTTCTAATTTTGTTGCTGTTTTTGTTTTATTGTTAACTTACTTTTTAATACAATTGTTATCCAGATCTTTTAAGCATTTTGCACAATATTCCCCCAAAAATATGTAACAATAAATGAAATGAATATAAATCCTTTGTTAACTGAAAAGCACTTAAGCTATCCTTCGCTGCTGTAATCTGAGTTTTTTTGTCTTTTAACTTTAAAATTTTTTTTTTTTTTTCTTCTCCGAACTTTTTTTTTTTTTAGTTAATTTTCTTTTTGTTTATGGAATTTTTTTTTTCCACTTGGTTGAAATTTTTACTGGCTTTTAATTTATTTCCAAACAAAAAAAGTAAAATAAAATAAATAAATAAATAAATAACATTAATAATAATTTTTATTTTGAACACTTAACACTCCAACTCAATGGTGGAAGTTTTTTTTTTTTCTTTTTTTTTTTCACTAATGTTTTTATATAACTTTTGAATTTTTTTTCGCCAGTTTGTTACACAAACGAAGTTAAAAAACTCTTTTATTTCAGGAAAAACCTTATGCTTCAGCATTCAATTTCCAATTATTTACATAAAAAAGGGAAATTTTTTTCCCTAATATTTTAGTTTGCTGTTGTTTATGTTGCATAAAGTTAATGACAGACAACAAACTGGCACTGGCTCACGTAAATATATATATATATATATATATATATATATATATGTTGTTGTATATATGTATATATATATTTATGTGTATAAATTCATATTTAAATGGACATACAGTTAGTTAAACATACACGTACACATACAACGCACACACACACACACACACACATACACGCATGTGGAGAGATAATGTATTATGCAAAACGTAGAAGAAGGGCGCACGAAATGATTTAAAAAACAATGAATTGAAAGAAAAATAAACACAAGAAATATATCTTACGACGATAACGCGTTTAACGTTGGAAAACACACACAACAACTTTCTGTTTTATTAGTACGCACGCCACCACAGTTGAAAACGTAATGAGCGCTCATTCCATGACCAAATACTCTTGAGGTCGGTCTAACATGAATTTTATATTTTTTCCTTTTGTTTGATTCTTTCTTTTATTTTGTTTTTATGCTTCGTTCTTCTGATTTCTGGTTTCATCTAAACTCCCAAGCCATTATGTTTTGCTCACAAATCCATTGATTTAACTGCCATGTGCTTTCTTGTATGCCTAAGTTGGCATAGGCTGCCTCTGTGCTGCTACTTATTTACTCGCTCGTATACACATACAAAATCTCAAAAGGAAAAAAAAAAAAGAAAAACGAATAACTCTTATAATCTCTTTTGCAGATTTTTATTTCAATATCATATCACATAGCGCGCTCTTCTCCAACACTCTTAGTAACTTCGCGCTATAAAGAGTTATTTCTAATATAGAAAAGATTTGTGTGAATTCTCGCATAACAATTTAGCTCAGAGTGTTATTACAAAGCAAGCAACGCAAATAAGAGCGTTGCATATTTATTGCACATAATCTTCTTTACCATAAAATTTCGATTTCTCTTAAAGAAAATAAACACTCTCTTTATGACGCCCTCTCTTAAATGTTTCTCTTGGCTATGGTGGTAAATATTACTTCTTTTAAACATTTTCAATTGGTTTACCGTCTGCATATGAAAAACATATGTGTAGCGAGTGTTCATCACCAAATTCAATCAATTGTCTTAAGTACCCTTTCACTTGAGCACAACATATTGGTCAATAATTCCTAAGACGAAGTAAACAACATTTTTTTCATTATTATTATTATCATTATTTTTTCATTTTTTTGCAAAATTCGATTCTATTTATTCGTCGACATAGTTCTCTTCAAGTGTAATGCAATTAGCGCAAGGTTCGCCTTACATTTCCGTGTCTTCTTTACAGGGGATTTGACGAACACCTCCAAGCAAGGTTTCATTTTTTGCAATAAGAGAGCTGCTCACCTGTCTCGAATTTATAAGCAGGCAAACCTTGCTTCTGAGATTAGCAAACACGTAAAAGCCTGCGGGATTCAGGTGTGCCCCCGCGAGCGCGCTATAAGTGAGCGCGGTACTATTTGAAGAACAGCATTCGCATATGCATATTTATATGCAAAAGAATGCACCGCTATCTCTGCAAGTTCCCCTTTCAATTATCAAGGATGGTCTCGAGAATTGTTTTCCACGAGTCCTGATGTAATCAATTTCTTTAATCATACACCGCATGCAGGGTTGTCGATAAGAGCTCCCATAACACTTTTCAATCCAATGCTTGATTTCAACGGTACACTTTCCCATACAACATTCAGACTTTTCCTTAGTTTTGAATGTAACAGAAGTAGCGTTACTTAAATCACGACAGCCTGTGCACAAATTATCGCAATGATATGAAACTGTTGCAGGCGTCGGTAGAGAATTACCACCCATTAGCTGCAGTTGAAAGTAGAAAGTTGTATTGAATGATAATTATATTTCCCGTCTTTCTAATAGAATATGTGAATTGGGTGCTAAGAGGACAACTAGTGCGTTCAGAGTTTGTTTTTTAGGTATCACACCGAACAGTGCGAGCGGTGGTCAGGCAAACAATAAGTCATCGATTTGTGCAAAGAATTAATCAGAAGAAGTAATACCCAGAGACTACAGCAAGAGTTAACACATTCTAGTTCGCAATGGATTGACATTACGGCGGAAGTGACTTTGCAATGTCCTTTCGTAATTTACAGTAATTTTTCTGACCAATTGCATCGGGTACTGTTGCGATTGCCCGCTCTACTGATAGTTATGTTGGATTGTGAAAGCTCATAATACATGCGACATTCGATATCCCCAATTTAATGGTGGCAGCACTTTCACTTGATTCTGCAAAATATCGCGGCCAATATACACGGACCATCTTTTTAAACCTAGAAAAGTTTGTACTATGGTATCAATACCAATGTGGTACGCTGACATAGAGAGGTCGCAACTGAGCAAAGGCGTGACTAATCTCACAATGTACTTCGAATCACGTAATTGACCTAAATTTTCGCTCACCTTCGCCACATTGGATTGCAAGCTTTTTCCCTTAAAGATATGTTTGTTAAATCGAGATTTTAGGTTTTTTTACGAGATCGAGGTAATATTTTCAATTGAATTTTCAAACTGCAATTATAAACTCTACCGAAAGCTTAATTTGTATCTGATCATGTCCCTTCGTTTAAACACGTACGAAGCTGCTTATCTAAAGAAAGGATATATATATCTCTTAAGTACCTAACGACATCATAGCGAACACTTTACCAGATTTTCGTTACCATATGCATATATATAGCGTATTATTACTTTCTATGGTTGCTTATAATACGCATAATCCAGTTCATCGTAGCGTCCGCTTTAATTTAAAATCTGGTGTAATCTCTAGTTTATCCGCCAACCTAGTCTTCAATACGCACTCTTACGTCTCGTCTGATCCGTAATTCAAACTTTAGTTTAGTTTTATCTGTAATTCAATCCTAGCTTAGTGTGTAATATAGCCGCTGGTCTTATATTTAGTCCAGCCTCTAGTTTAATAACAGTTTGCCTAACTACTAGTCGAAACCTTAATCTCGCCTCCAGCAGTAGGCTGCCTTTTCGCGTAAGAGTTAGCTCCGCACTTAGCTTAGACTCTAGCTTCGCGTCCAACCTCGTATCTCGTTAGCTTGATTTCTTTTCAGCCGACTTAACCAGAAAAAGGAAACCTTCTTATATTAATCACTTAAAAGATGTTTGAAGCTGACCTGTCTAGAGTCTATGAAAAAGAACACGATTAGCTTACGTAATGTTTCGCCAAAAAACTTTACTACTTTTGATAGGGTTAATAGGCATACCTTAAAGGGATAGCAATGAAATCGTAAATAGGCTTGCGTAGGAAGCTTTCGTGTATCAGTTGAACTTGAAAGGCGCGCAAATACGGAATTGTGAGCACAATTTAGCAGAAGTTTGCTGAGTTTGATCTAAACTATTTAGCACTGTGTCGCAGTCGGGTTAACAAAATACTTACGGTAGAGTTTAAAAGAATCGTAATTAAAACATTGAATGTTTTTGTTAAATGAATTTGGTGCAGACGCGCCCCGCCCCGCACGATTGAAACGAAGCTATATATAACAGAGTAGGCAGACATATACAATTGCAAGGTATGATGGCGAACACCATCTGTTTGTGTGAAGTTGTTTGACATTTGCTGTTAGGTAAAATGTAGTTTTCTTTGCTTCAATTTCTTTTTCTTTTTGCGGTTGTTATGATAGGACTTAACCGATTTAATACTCATTTCGGTTAAAAATGTGTATAGATTAGTTTAAACGTGTTTATCGACGTGTTGCGAACAAAGACGATAAAATCATAACATGTTTTTCTGACAGTGGAATATAATAATTGATCTTTAAATATTTCCTTTTTTTTCTCTTCGTTGCATAGATTTGAATACTTTGGGAGCGAAATTAAAATATAATGCATATTGGCTTTGTATATTAGAGAGGCTAAAAAATATTGAGCTCATATTTGAATTTTATAATTTTATAATTTTTAATCAATTATAGAGATGCATTCATTGGAGGCAATTGTTGTTATCTAAGAAGACCCCTTCGATTGAGAGGAGTAGCCTTTCAATTTCCATTTAGAATGATGTGATGAATGCAACAATAATTGGTTGGTTGGTGGTCATCTGCGAAGGCAACGCAAACAGAGAGAGAGAGAGAGAGAGAGAGGGGGCATGAGCAACTAACTATTGGTGTAGCTGGCATTTTAAATGATTTGTACATAGCACAAATGTTACCGTGTTGAACTTTCAAATGACCCAATCAACCAAATGCTGGTGGATGCAGAGAAAATTTTCATTATTTTTATAGCAAGCATTTACATACCATTGATAAGCAATTTGTGGTTTTAGTTTAGTTTTTATTTTTATTTTTATTTACCTTTTTCTTCGTTTTATCTTCTGTTTTTTTTTTTTTTTTTTTTTTTTTTTAGATTATAATAAGCTCATGAGAGCTATACTATATATATATATATATATAGTATAGTTACCTATGTATTATTACATAGACGCATATGTATGATTTTATACATGCATGATTGTAAATGTTATGTATATGTTTGTATATCGATGCGTGCGTATCTGGAAAGAAGATAGAATTTTCTAGCGGAAATTAAAAATTTCCACATTGAAGTCATAATCTGTAGACAGCAGAGATTTAGTTAATACATTGAACAGCAACGGGCTACGGGTGCGGTGAGT